CCCGCTCTGTCTTTCCAACCTCCCGGTGTCTCGTAAGACGTTCATACCATATAGAAACTCATCACATGGAATTAATAACGATGTGAAATGATTTTTAGCGCTACCGGCCTTGTATAATAATAATATTTATGTAGCTTACTCACCAAGAATGTCTTGGAACCCACAAGGGAAGACCAAAGATGACATGGAGGCGAGCGGTACAAGCGGAAATTGAAAAAGCGGAGACATCATGGATACAGATAGAAAAAAGATGCTGAGGACAGGCTTCGCTGGAGTAATGCTGTAGATGGCCTGTGCTCCACAGGGAGTTAAAAAGGGCAAGAGAGAGATAGAGATAGGAATTCACTGCATGGAATCAAAAACGATGTGAAATGATTTAGCTCTACCGGCCTTGTGTAATAATATTTATGTAGCTTACTCACCAAGAATGTCATGCCGATCCACACAAGAAGGAAGACCGTTACTATTTGAAGCCCCTGTAGCCTGCTTCTGTTGTTGTTGTTGCTGTGGTGTCGTTCCACCCAGAACCGTCTGTAACGTCTCATTGCTGACCCCACCCTGAGAGCCCCCTCCCAGCTCCGCAGCCCGTGTGGTGGCGCCACTATCCTGAGCAGGCCACTGTCTGTACTGGCGGTCGTACGAAGCTTTTCGGTGCCCAAAATTCTGGACCATATTTTTGTAGTCCGTATAAATGTCCGCGATAGCAGCGCCCCGCGACGAGTTGGCCGCGTCTCTGAGCTTCGTGTTCAACAGGTCCAGACTGCTGATCTCCCTAGGCACCAGCAGAACGGAGTCCGCTTCCTGCCAGGTGAAGGTATTCCCGCCCGGCCTGGAGAAAAGTCTGATGCCGATGATTGTGTGGAGGAGGAGGAAGAGGAGGCCAGAGACGAGAGCCAGAGCGAGGAACAACTTCCGCCTCTCGGAGTAGACGATGGAGGTCATTATACGTCGCTTCAGGAAGCTCATGGTTACTCTGTGGACAGATTGATTGTGACTGTTTTACGCCTTCTTAGTTTTAGTAAGAGTTTTACAGCCCTTGCAAACACAATAAGATCATATAAGTGCCGAAGAATAGATGTGTTACAAAATAGTAACATACACAAAAAAAGAAGGAGGACATTTATTGACGATACATGTGAGGCAGCGTGGTGGAATCAGGCTCTCGTCAATTTTGGGCATGTAGAGTTATTGGTATCATCTTATAGCTTGTTCACTTGTCTTTATTTGGGTGAAAAAAATATCCATTTATCTTGAATACAAGTCGAGATATTTGCGAAAGAAGGAGGTGGGGTTACCTGTGTTCAGAGGTAAAATTAG